GGATGGTCTCTAAAGTAGTAGAAGACGAAGGTCAGGGGTCAAGCTAACTATACTTGATTTGCCATCAGGCTACCTATCAAATAAGATTGAGGTAGATGATAATGGGATCATTGAGAACACATAATATTTAAACAGAGCACCCAATAAAAACATTCTCATTCTAATGACATTCAACATTGTGTATATCACACTAATTACTTGGTGAAGGGGCACAAGGACTAACTGAGAGCAGCCCATTACCTTTGGAAGGAAAGAAGTCTTATTCCTTAAGATTTCCAGGCTCTCCTTCAACAGCTGGCTGCCCTAGAAATTATTGCTTTGTCTACAAATTCTCACCATTGTGATGATGACAGCTTGGGCTACAGGAACAGAATGGGCAGCTGACAGCAAGCAGATGAGGGTTTTAAAGAAAGGGAACACTAAAAAAACATTAGAAAAGGGGGAAAAATAGACTGGTCTGGAGGAGTCATCTTCATTCCCTAATCAAAGCAGGATCATGTCAGGCCACCAGTGCACTTCTCTTTCCSTCAAAGCCTACTGAAAATAGGAAAAAAGAGGAGAGTGTGGGGTCCAGCTGGCAGACAYGGGAGCCACTTGCTGTTACAGGGACACACCCTGGTGCTAGCTGTGGAAGTGCTGCCCTCTGCTGCTCCATCTGGGAGGTGACTGCTTCACCACAGACCTCTGAAAGGAAGTAGAGGGAGGGAGGCAGGAGGGGAGGATTCCTGTTGTAGGCAGCTGTCCAGATCCCAGAGGCTTAGGGATCCAGCAGCACTGGATGAAAATCCCGGATTCTGCTCTGGTGTTAGTGCTTGGAAAGCACCAGGGACAGACACATAGATGCTGAGGTCTTGGGTGGATCCTGTTTTCTCCTATCACATAGAAGCTATGAACAAACCCTCTCTGTTCATCTCTGTACCAAAGTGTCAATTTCAATTTTGTGAAATCTTTGGCGTCAAAAAATGAAAAGAAAGATCTGTGGTTCCAAAACAATTTATTTCCCTTTTCAGTGGTACTRGGGAGGGCTTGGAGTGAGCATTTTCTAACAATTAAATCTGTTATCGAGTCACAAATTTAAAAGTTCTTCCACTTACAATGAGCAATCCCTGACAGGTGGTGCAAGTGTGTAAAGGGGAGCTTCTGGGGATGACCTGGAGACAGTGCACATTGTCCGTACCCTCAATGGGCAGCAGGTCMCACCCCCCAAAGACTTCTTACTATCTGCAGAAGGATAAGGGGCTTTGCCATCAAGCTCTGTGCAAGTCAGTGAACCCATTTCCTAGGGAACTCAGATTGCCCACGAGTGTCATGGTATGCTCAGGGATGCCGTCAGTCAACCCATCACAATGTGGTATTGTATCAACACCTGATTTAACGGTAGGTTCTTGGGCAGGGGAAATGTGTGCTGACCTGTGAGAAATGACAGAGCAACTTCAGATTCTGTTCCTAGGCCATGAGAACTTCCCCACAACCCCGTGCCTCATCTCACAAACTGTTTCCTGCTTCTTCAGAAACTGTGAAACCTCAATGGTTCATCCAGGAAGAACTGAGTAAAGTTTCGATTTCAGTTCTATTCATCTTCACTTGTTTTTTTTGTTTTTTTTTTTGGGGGGGGTGGGGTAGCTGTAATACCCTGTTTGTTTTCAGCTTCTAAGAAAAACGGTAGATTTTTGGAGGAGCCAGGTGCACAAGCAACTGAGAACCCCTCCTCTGAGTGCTGAGCCCTTGCCAGGTGAGTGAGCTGTGGAACTGGCTCCCCATGAACTTGTCAACTAAAAACATCAGTGAATTCCCCAATGCAAACTCCACTCACGGATTGCACTRGAGAGTGAAGGAAAACCATTCACGGCCACTGGGAATGGTCACACGGGAATTTGTCACAAAAGGTTCTGTGCCCCCACACCCAGCTTAGAGGTGCTCTTCTCTACAGAGGCAGCAGGGAGGTGAAGTGTGCTCCCTCCTCCTGTCCTCAGTGGTCTCCTGACTTATTCCTATACCTGCCCTCAACACAGTCCATGAGAACCTGCATTCTCTCTCATTTTCCTGGAGGCCTTAACTTATTCCCTGCTTATGTTCTTCTGAGAACTCGTCATTATCAGATCATAGTTAATTAGTTTTGTTTATTATCTGTTTCTCCACTAGAATAGAGATCCTTGAGACAGGAATTAACATTCATTTAGTACACTCTTTGATAATGGATCTCTTGAGCAGTATCCAGAACATGGCAAGGATTCAAAAAATATTATTTGACTTAATGAGAAGAAATTCTTTTGTAATGCCTAATAATAGTTCTAAACATTGCTCATCTCTTACTATTTTTTATTCTTCCTCCTTTTACCCCAAAATGTTAATATTCTCAGGGCTCTGTTATCAGTGTTTTGCTTTCCTCAATCTCTTCTCAAATATCTCAGGCAATATGTTCTTCCTCTCTCTCCACATTGTTTTTTATTGGTGCATTGTAGTTGTCAATAATGATGGGATTTGTTTTCACATAGTTGTACATGCACACAATATAATAATATAATTTGGTCCATTTAACTCCCCAGCACTCTTCTTGACCTCCTGAGTTTGACTTATTTTGCTTAACATAATGGTCTCATGTTCTATTCATTTTCCTGCAAAATTGTGRCTGAATATAGCTACAGTGTGCACATATACCACATTCTCTTTATTCGTTCATTTGTTGATGGTTACCCAGGCTAGTTCCATAGTTTGGCTATTGTGAATTGTGCTGCTATAAACATGGTTATAGGTGTATCACTATAGCATGTTGACTTTAATTCTTCAGGGTGAATACTGAGAAGTGGTATAGTTGGCTCATATAGTGATTCAATGTCTAGTCTTTTGAGGAAACTTGATACTGATTTCCACAGAGATTGTACTTATTTACTGTCCCACCAACAGTGTAAAAGTGTTCTTTCCTCTCCACACCCTCTCCAGTATTTATTAGCATTTGTGTTCTTGATGACTGCCATTCTGAGTGGTATGAGATGAAATCTCAGTGTAGCTTTGATTTGCATTTCCCTAACTGAAAACCATGTTGACCATGTTTTTGTGTATTTGTTGGCCATTTGTATTTCTTCTTTTTAAAGTGTCTGTTTGGTTTATTTGTCCATTTATTTGCTTGTTTCTTAATTTATATATTTTGGATATTAATCTTCTGTTGGAAGTTTAGCTAGCAGAGATTTTTTTCCCCATTTTTTAGGTCTTTTTCTTCACATTCTTGTCTCCTTTTATGGGCAAAAGGTTTTTTACATTTTATGTCATCCCATTAAGTAACACTTCACCTTATTTCCTGAGCTTTAGGGGCCCTATTGAGAATGTCATTGTTTGTGTCTATATGCTGAAGTGTTGACCCTATGTTTCTTCTAGGAGTTACATAGGTTTTAGTCTTATTCTTAGGTCTTTGATGCATTCTTAGTCAATTTTTGTGAAAGATGAGAGGTAAGGGTATAGTTGAAAGGAAAGTGACCACAACATTCAGAGCAACCAAAAGATCTTTATTGCAGCAGTGCAACAAAGAGAAAAGAAAGAAGGAAAGAAGGAGAGAGAGAGAGAGAGAGAGAGAGAGAGAG